TTCATGACCTGGAAATGTTCGCAGCGGTCACAATGAAGGAATCATTACAAGCTCCCGATGTCTTCATGCAAACATCTCTCACGCCGTAAATGCACAAATGTATCTCTTGCAGCGGAGTCTCGAAATGCCACACAGCACAGAATATAAATAGCTGGGTAGTTGAGGCGAGAGCCAAGAGCTAATCCGCTTCGAACCATCCTTTCGGATCCCATCTAAAAATCAAATTTAGAGTTTACAAAATGTATACATACGACCCACTAAGCTTTGCGGAGGACTTTACTGTCATTTCCATCAGTATTTTAGCTTCTCGCCGCCAAAAAACTACCACGGAAGTACAAAAGGTGATCGTTCGTGGTTCTCAAGATATAGATCTCTTCTTTCAGTACAAAGCAGCGTGAGCACCGCTACCAGAGGAAGATTAACATGTAACGTTTTCACTTTGGTTTCCACAAATTTATTGTTTGTGCGGTAGTCTTAAGTTTTTCTTGTACGAGAAGATGGAGTCAAAGCGATTTCAATCGAAAAATCAAAAATTAATTGCATCTCATGTATCAATATATGCTTCTTAGACTTAAGGAAAGCACCTCTTGCACACTGCAATCACTTGCATATTCATGTAAGGAAGTAAAATTGCTGCAAGTCTAACAAATCTCGATTTCAACTTTTCTCCGTTTGTCTAGTCACTGCGTAGAAAGCAATCCAGCACGGCTTGCTTTCTTAATAAGTCCGTAATTTCCGTACATGTGAGATTGGTTTTGAAAAAGTTCATAAGAATTCAACTAACCAGTGCTGACTACGAGAAAGGTGGAAAGCTAAAGCACAGAAGAACACACTTTTTATGGGAACAAGGAAATACTGTAGTCTTAATAATGATGGGGCACTTTTTTTTATTGGTTGGAAACAGGTCAGGTGATCCTAAAGTTCATGTAGTTTATTACTATTTTCTTATACTAAACGCATGCATTAACACCTACCTAAGCCTCTGAGCATGGTATCTGCTGCGATGCTGAAACGAGTACATGCAAAATTCGCGGTAAATGTTCATGAAATTTACCAGTTTTTAAAGCATTGACATACGTATTTGGAGCAGTTGCAAGAAAAACAAATCTAAAATCACTTTTGAATGTAGAGACAATGATGTTAACGTTATGTAAATAAATCAGTGCTTCCCGAGGTCTGCAACCGAGAGCATTCACACCTGACTGAGTCAGATTTAAATTGCAGAAAACTACCCACGTTGCTAGACCTTCTCAGCCTTCTAGTGACCGGACGTTGATCCTGACAGCCATTCCGCGTTCTCAGAATATGTAGATATATGCAGGACACATGACTGCTCTTATTCTCAGAACCACAAAACACAGAAAGGTTTTGTTTTTCATAGGACTTTTTAAGATGATATGCAACGAAGTATCGGGTCAGAAGACCCTGATGATATCAAGAATCTACATTTTCACTCGGAAAATAATGAAGAATCTTTCCCGTGTGAAAATGCACATACCTGATTCGACTTTCTGGTGTTCAAACTGATCTCTCGTTCTGATTCATAACTTGGGTACTTTTGCGTATGCCAAGGTAGAAGCAAAGACAGGGTTGTAATTGACAAAGCATTATTTCTTCCAAGCTCAGAGCAAGATCTGAGCTGTCGAATCACTCGCTGTGAACATATAGATGATGCACTACAGGGGTTGTGTTCCTGTCTACTGGAAAGAGTCGTAGCCTGCTGTAGATTTTCGTAGAGCTGAACAAGAAGGTTCTCGATAGTTCTCTTTAGAGGAAGAATGAAGCCCGAAATTCCGCGTCAGTGGTTGGTGATACACACCTTCGATTTCAAGGCCTTGAAGTATGCGGCACTGATGTTGTGAGCATCTATTCTCCGGTGATCAGAGGAATGGACGGCATCGAATGAACCACTCCGGAACTGTGCACTTGTTCGATTCATCGAATACATTTTGTCGCCTTTTGACAACAATAAATATTCTTTTGAATTCCATTCCCTGAATAAAAGGGCCAGATAGGCTCTACGACAAAGTCCTGTAGTCAAACTAATTAGTGCTAGCTGTTGTTTGTAGACCGTTTGACCTAGATCGTTGGAATAAACCAGAGTACATATTGGGCCATTCCGTGCTGCCATTGACCATTGACGCTATCCCCATGTTAACTGTTTAGTTTCATCCATGTACGACTTATTGGGTATTCCCTTATTTTCCGTTATTTTACTTCGTGCTCTCATTACTGCAACATACAGAAGAGAGGAAGGATACTCACCACTCACCTCATTTAGAGGAAGGAAGGCATGTCCGAGAAGTAAGCACCGGGAGGAGCTCTCAAATAAGTAAGTGGGGAAGCATGGACTTGCTATAAGCAGCGAGGGTCGACTTCGATCTGTCTCTATCACACACACTGTCAGATATTGCCTTCCTCAACATTCGATATGAAGCTACTTGCTCGTCATGTGCCAACCTGCACTGATTTCAATCAGTTAACTCTACAAGACTGTAGGACTTCTGTACTTGGCATTGACTGGGTAAACAACCTCATAACTTCGTATAAATCGGCAAAGTTACTTTAGAGAAAGAAAATCCTCATCAGCAGGATCAGAGATGACATGATACTGCTGAGCAGGATCAGAAATGACATGATACTGCTGAGCATGCTGTAAGCATCACAGCCTTGTACGCCAGCCAGGTTAGGACCAACCTGCTGACGGGAGTAATCTCATTCATACATATGTTGTCATTATAAATGGATCAATCACGATTGAACCTGTAAATTTCTAGACGACAGCGGTGGTCCCAAGGAAAAATATCTCTACATCGAGCTCGATCTCTGTACACATGGGTCAATGTATGCACTTTCCCTCATAGGAAGGAACACAATCTTGCGCACAGTAACTGATCAATTTGAACGCAGGTCCTGGAACGAGCTTTGGATCACTCCAGGACTGTGAGGTAGTGCATCGTTTCACTCTCAGTACCTCACTTGTCCGTCCCTCATCCCAGCGAGTGTAGGACTCTCACCTCGGCGAGCAGCCTCGAACATGTGGAGTGATCTCTCGAGCAGAAGAAGACAATGTGACTCCAAACGAAATTGGAGCGTTGACGGTGTAGACTAACCCCGTCCTGTGGATTGGAATTTGGATCTTTGCAAATAATCGTTGCATAGTAAGATGGGGTTGTGAATTGTGTTTTTTTTCTTTCATTGTTCAATGTCAACAGAGATATAATTACATATACATCATAATTTCATTATGTCAATTATAGTGGTATAGTCTGACTTATATTACAGTTAATTCTTATAGAAATGACCATTGGGATTGATCTGTATGTACTTTTAAGTACAATTAATTCTTATAGAAATAACCATTGGGATTGATCTGTATATGATTAAGGATCACATGCAGAAAAAAAAACCAACAGTGACTATGTGGCAGGATATATCTAACCTCCTAACGCTTATGTATGTCCTTGGAATTTCTATTATCAATGTATTTTGGTTTTACTTATAAACACCAGTTCCCGTAGATGTAGCTAGTTCAGGCCTTTTGCTCGTCTACTTACTCAGAAATATATAAAATAGATGTATAACTCTGGTGTAACGAGGTTGATGTTACGATTGGACTACCTATACCATCATTTTTCAATGAGTTCGATCTCTACATTTCTCAAACCTTTACTTATTACGACTGGAAATTTTCAATACAACCTATGAGATGAGAAGTCCAGGCTTCGCATTCACAGTTGTTCCATTGAGAAAAGAAATTCCATGAACATACATCAAGCCTTAGAAGCTTAGATATACCCTCTCACATGATCACTACTGTTATTTTTTTTTGCATGTGACTCTCAAGTACACGGACATCAATCCCAGTGGTCATTTCTACAAGAATTGACTCTACTTGGAAAGTCAGACTGTAACACTATATCTGGCATAATGAAATCGTGACTTGCATCTGCAATTATGTCTCTGTTCACATTGAACAATGAAAGAAAAAAATGAACACAATTTACAACACCATCTTATTATGCAATCTTTATTTGCACAGAAACTTTATTGCTAAACATAGTCTCCAAGAATTGTTACTAGTTACATAGATAACAATACTGATTCAGAATGCCAAGATATTATTATTTATGTGGATAAAAAAAATTTAGAAGATTCACATACAATTCTTTTCTTAGATTGTGTTCACATTATACAATTGTTATCAAATTTCATTATATAGGCTTGATAGAATATATGTAGATATACGACATACATATGTCACAAGAAAGCCACAACAATTTAAGGAAGTAAAAATATTATATAACTTAACACCACTTTTATAATGTAAAATATGTCAAAATGCTTTCCAAATTAAAAAATTTATAAATAACATAATTTTAAAATTATACATTTCCAAGATAAAACAAGTTCAATGAAAGCATACAATTAGCTTGCTGATATAGATATTGAATTTGCAATTATTTTCAAATTTCTAATTCGACACACCAAGAGTTTTAAAAGTTTGCACACAATATCTGAATAAAATGAATTACCTCATTTTTTGAATCTCAAAACGATTAATAAGAAACAATTTAGCTCAATATCATGAATATGATTATTTTGCTTAAGAATAGATATAATAAATATAGATTGAACTACGTATATTTTTCAATAGATGCATGTGTCATTGTTGATTTTAGAGAAAAACATCCATACCATAATTTTCAATTTGATTTTCTAAAGATCTCATGAAAACTATAATCACAAGAATTATATGAAAAAATGGCCTTGATTACTTACTCACAAAAAATATTAATATATCCACTATATAAATTTGAAACTTGCTAAGAAATAGACGAACTGTAAACTTATTAAATTTTTAAAAAATTGGGATGTGGTACATAGTAGATGACAAGAATATTACAGCTGACAAAAATAGGTAATATAGAAGGCCAAGTTATGTCACAAAAGTACTAAATGATATATTGAAATGATGTAGGGAAAAATCACATAGGATGATGGGGCTTGGTCCAAGGTTTATTGATAGAGTTTACATTCAAATTGCTAGACAATCAAAAGGTCGACGTTTTAATTGGAATCTTTCAAACGACAGAGATGGTAGATCGGATCACGTGCATGTGACATGTCAAGTATCTATGGACGCCTTAGGTCCTCTATTGAAAACAAGAACGTACCATTGAAGACCGCAAACTGATCATTAACTTTAATTTTGAGTCACACACTAGGAACTGGTGAGTGTTCTATTGGAGTCTCTGACTCCCTGTCATTCGTTCAGGAACACATGTCCATGAGGCTCTCTTCAGGCAGCCACTGATTGGTTTGTAAGCGTCATAGCATGGGTAATCTCTTTCTCGAATACGTATAAGTACGTACACCCTAATAACTGCAGCAAAGTCCAGTAAATGCAGTACGAGAAGACGTAGATGCCACGTCGGAGGGAGGAACAGGACAAACAAATTACCCCTGCCAAGATGTCCGTATCCATAATGAGTGGAAGTGTATGTCAAAATGTCTGGAAAGTATCAAAAAGTTAACTTCTCTGATCCAGTGATCTAAGGAGGTCTCGTTGGGAATCAAACCGCCTACAGTAGCACGAGTGTTCCCTTAAGCGATCAATACTATTGGCAATCAAGCATGTGTTCAGATATCCGACCATTCACTGTTTTCGTGCGGTGACAGGGAGTAAAATCGTACGTAGGCCAGGTTATTTATTTCTCACCGAACAGTCACCTGTCTCCGCAGCCTGAGACTCACGCATAATCCTTGCCAAACCTCAATGTGCGCCGGTACACTTCCTGAATTGCGGAACATCGAAAAGGCGATTCCGAGGAAAGAAGTATGTTCCGAAGGCAACATGTTGGTAACATGCTGTGGCAGCTGTGCCGAGACTGTCATTCGCTCAGATTCGTCTGATGAGGAGTGGCCCTTGGGGATGAGTCATACGAGTCGCTGGTTTTGGCAGCATTACAGGACTTCGGTACGTATTTCTTTGGCGCGTCAGCTAGTAAGACCGAGTTAGACAACAGCGCAGCCACGGGACAAGCCAAAGGACGTGCTCGTTCAATGCGCCTGCCAGCTGGGTACTGAACTCTTGAACCTCTTCATGGGCCCACGCGTCACTTGCTCATAAGTGTTGAGTAATCTCTGCCCCACTTTTGCCTTCGGTCGACTCTGACTGAATTTTCCTAGTCAGAGTCGACCGGACTTGCGGCCTCTCAAGATTCAAACACAGAGAGCGCAGCACGAAATTGCCACTTCCCACATATCCGAGAAGCATCGCTTGTCTCACTTCTCCACAGGTTTTGCACAATCTTTGCGAGAATCTGGTTTGACTCCATAAATAAGCATGTCATACTCTTAGACTTCATGTCTTCCCATCCTTACGATGAAAGGGAGACGCATGGAATGAAAGATGTTTTGCAACCACGTCCAAGAGCTACGAAGCAAAAGCCGAAGCACTCCATCAAAGAGAAAACCAAGGGCTGAAGGAAAGGAGAGAGCTAATCTTTTCTGATAGTTCACTATGTCACCTTCGGTGAATCCGATGTCATTCAACTGCATATCTCATCACATGTAGTGACAGGAAGTCTAGATGAATGCTACCTTTCTCTCAATGGCTCAATGGTTTTTTAATCTTTGCATTTTTGTCAGTTGATATATTGGACTTAATCATATAAAAATTTGATGTACACCAAAAAAATTCACAGGGAGGAAGCCAACCACACTCCCTAACAAAGCGATCCATGTCTCTTACAAAATACTCCATGCATTTCCAAGTCAAGTCGGACAAGACATGTCCCTCGCTCAATCTTCAGATACTTGTGGATCTCAACAGCTCATCTAGCAACAATGTGATGTGGCAGTGATGCCTTGAGTCGGATAATTAACTACAACTGCAGCCACCACATGATCATGATAGCATAAATTACTTTGCGATAATCATAGTGTGTATCAATCCTCTCCTCTAAGAAAGATTAAACTTTTCAAAGCTAGAATATGCCGCAAGTGTGCAAGATTTTTTCTACTTGATGTCTAATTTTATACAGAGATTTTAGAAGTGAGAAGCTGAGAAGTTATCTCATTTGTCCAAAGAAAATTTTAGCTTTAGCTAGAGTATATGTAGTAACTTTTATAACAATGATGAGGAGCTCCTAAACCAATTTGCAAATTTTAATTTGTACACTTTAATGAGATGATGCAGCAAAGATAGTTGCAATCATTAAAGAACTTTGAACCTCGAAGCACATAGTGTAATACATGAGGGACCCGCATTAATCCATGAAATTCATTACAGTAAACACTTAATTCCAATGTCTCATAGAATGTCATGACAATGAGTCACACAAATAAAGAATCTTGAAAATAAGATCACATATGAAAATTGAAAGATATATGGAAAAGAATATTTTTGCAAGATTTATGCTTATTAAGTAAGTCAGATTCGACTTCATCCTATTAGCAAATGACAATGACAATGTATGATAAGAAAAACTCTTAAGCTTTACATAGTACCTTTCAATTAAAAATAACTTTTAATTATGTTTACATACAATCCTCTTGAAAAAATTTAATTAAAAAAACCATTTATAATTAAAAAAATTTATATATGATGATTTTATATACTTATTTTCAAAATTCTTGAGGTTTTTTAAATATACTTGAAAAATGTATCTAAGAATGATTCTGAGGTTTTTCAATACTACGATTATGACAATCTAATACATTAATCAATTCCATCTAGTCAAACTATGATATAGAGAATTCCAACAGCGTTAGAAAGAGCACATAATTGAAACTCTTTTTGATATACAACATTGTCAGTTTATACTTCATAATTGAAGTCCTGACTTTCAATCGGAATTCAATTTTTTTCTGTTAAATTCACATACTTTACATCATATTTCTTATTTAGCTAAATAATTCCAATTTTCAAGATCTAAAACTAGAAAATTGAAAGGCAGAAAATTTTCTTTTTCCAGAAATGCATAATTTTATTTCAGTTCTTTATTCAAATATTTAAAAATTTTATTTAGAATTTGAACTAACTAGCTAGCTTCATTACTAGCTTTTGAAGCTATTGTTATTTGAAGTTTTAAAAAAAGATCTTAAAAGTAAAATAAATGGATGGTAGTTGAATTTTTATAAAAAGTCTTTTTCTTCTCAAATGTTATCATCCTGTTATGGGAAAATTAGATTTATTGACTTTCCTATAGAATATTTATACCTTAATAATTATAGGTACATTTAAAATATGGACTATTTACTTGGAAATTTTATAAAGAAGTAGACTGCCAAAATTTACATGAAATTTTTCTAAATGTATCAATTTCACTAATTTATCCTCAAAAAAGAGTGATCAGTGAAAAAATAATTTGCAACGAGATCAATCAATATATAAATATACATAATTATTTTATATTTTATATCTAAAGTATATTGGATCTTTAGTTTTCTAATTTAGACACATGAGGTTAATCAAACAGAATCACATTCGGAATAAATCTATAATTTTATACTTTAGACAATAACTTATAATTCAATATTTACGAAGTACTTTCGATATCTAAAATTTGATTCTAGATTTTTTTTCGACATGTAGTTTTATTACAATAGCATGAAATATATTCATAATCTTTGTTAGGAAGGTTAATCAAATAGATTTTTTGAAAAAATTTCCTTCATTGTTATTTTTTATCTACCATATTTACTATTTTTATACAAAAGATTTTGCAGTATGATGGATTTTCGTAGAGTACACGTAAAAAAGGATTCTTTGTGATAATACAAAAGAACCTTTTGTAAAGTAGACGTTATTGCCTTGAATAGGTGGTACCGTCTTACTAATTGATGGGTTTTATTCTTTTTTAAAGATAAAGGAACGCATTGTTTGCTGAACCCAAAATGGCTGGATCAGAGAAAGATTACTTCACTAGTATACTTAATCATTAAATAAATATTTCTATCATTCCCCAAAGTATTTATTATATTTGAAGCATAAACTGGATTTCTTATTACTGTTAAAGAAAAATTATAATTAACTTAACTAAAAAATTATTATTAAATAAAACCTTACTAGAATATAGGATTCTAGGTTATATCGTATAATTATATTTCTTAAAAAAGTATTTTTCCTCAATATATTACACTAAATATATAATAAATAAATAAATAATAAGTTATATAAAATGATGATAATGGTAAAAGACATTGTGAAGATAAATACTAATTTTTTACAATGGACCTCGTACATTAAGAGCTTCAGAATCGAATGGATATAAAGTATACATACAATTTAATGCCATGCATCTCCTTGATTAACTACACAATCACAGAAGAATGGACAAAATTCTGTGATATACTCATTAACATTTTTTAGATCTTTCAAAGTTAAGCTTCATCACAAACCAATTTTGTACCATGCAAGACTACAATGAACGAGATGAATGTTGCACAATATCTCAAACAGATTCTTTGTTACGACATTGTTTACCATTCAGTTTTATTTTTTTCTTTGTACTTTTTTATAGAAAACATTTCCATTCTACAGCACATTGTAATCGAAACCAATGAAAAATGTATTACCGCGCTAAACTCTGAATTTGACTATACTTCTCGGATTTTAAATTGTTCCTTGGTATTTAAAAATTATTGAATAAATTATGCATATCGCAATAAGACAGGGAGGATTGTATCTCGCAGATATCTGGCTTTAGCCAATCGTGTTGCCCTTATCTCTTTTCATCTAAAAAGAGAGGTGCTTCTTTTGGCTTGCATTACAAGTGGGCTTTTCCATCTTTCGTCTTCTTGTACACCGTATCCTAGGCGTCCAGAGGCTGAGTGAAAGTAAACTGTACGTACGCGTGTGTGCTATTGTCAACGACATCCATGAGGATATTGCCCGGCGCTTACCCGGCCCGATCTGTTCCTTCTTTGCCTAGTATACAAAGTTGAACCTTATTCAAGGCATACCTATCTTTAGTATGCTGCATGTCCTCCGTCATCATGGGTCCTATGCAACCTAACCTGCAAAGAGCAAAGGCAAAGCTTTGATGGTTCATTAGATTGTATTCCACACCCCAATGTGGACAATGACCTTACACTAACAGACTCCGAAATCCCCAATGGCACATCACAGTACTTCCACCATCGTCTTGTGGAACACCCTTCTGAGTCTACAGACGAGTTTTAGGTAGTTCGGACATGGAAGGGGTTGGAAAGAATCATCACACTGGTTTGCAAGTAAAGATCTCAGGTATGTCATCGCCCATGTATATCGGTAGATTGGTACTCACGATCTTGCGCTCTTTACGGCCAGTCTTTTCGAATAGCATGGGCTCACGCTTGCTTACGTCGGTTTCTTTTGTCTCATCCTGATTATGGATCCGCTTGTAGAAGGAGCGCAAGTGGTATGAAAGGAACAGGAAACAATATTGCTTAAATCGTGGAACGAGTATTCTTTGTTCTTTGGTCGTCTCGGGAATCCCCGTTCCCGCGAGAGTTCTCAGCGATTCGTGTTGCGACCAAGACTTGGAGGCGAAGTTCCAGCATGCCGAAGATCGCGAAGACATGGTTCAAAGATACTACTGCGTAGCTGCTGTAATTGTCATTTCTGCGTCTCGTGGTCCATTCTTCCGTAGTTCTACGGATATTATTCTAGTAAGGTTAAAATTGCCACACGTGACGTCACAGGGTTTGGGAATATGGTCATCTATAATGTTTTTTATGAAGGCGAATGACGTAGGGTAGTTCAGTTCCCCAAAGCATGCAGGGTTGACACGAGGGTGCTGTATTATAGTTTACTTAGCTCCTAATCCCTGAATTATCATAGGTCGTAAGTATGTGGTGCCCCAGTATTTAACAGAAGGAGCTATGTACTTAATTCCAAGCTAGTGACAGGTCGTTCTCTACAGTATGCGCTCTGATTCAGTACTCCAGTATGCTGCGTTCAATATTACTGGCAAAGGCATATGAATCTGTAACGATAACTTGTACTTTTCTCGTCGTCCGATGTCTCTTCGTCGATCCGTGGTATATATAAAAGTTCTTCTCACAACCATCGTGACCTGTCCTGTGCTCGGGATTATAGAAATAGTTGATCTTTGATACATCCACTGTAGTATTCTACACTCGGGCGGCACAGGCATGCCAGCGTCTTCAATCGTCGTCATTCACAGAAATCTGGTAAACCAAAGCTCGCTCATCTTATGTTGCTAGAAGTGCAGGTTCCTTCTCATCGACCAAATTCATGTTGTATGTTGCTCTGCACCTACTGACGCATGTAGTTCCACGCATGGATTTCGACCCGTGCGCGGAAACACAAAGACTATCGTTACGTCCGAGCGTTTGCTACTGCTGTAAACCAAGACCAACGTGCCCAAGTAAGATCAGATTCGCAGGTTGGTTGTCAATGACCTTGGATCATACCTTGTGTGACATTCTCTTTCACCTGACTCGTGGTTTTCTGGGCTTTCATGATGGTGGCTCACGTGGTTATTTGAATTTCATACGTAGTCGCTTTGGACTGTGAGAGAAAGAAACCATTATAAAATCTCAACGATGGGGCATGGTTTTGCAGAGCATTATCCATTTCATACGAGATTTTATCACGTGGCATGACTAATCATCCTAGATCATGGTACAATTTCTTATTCGATTCCCCGATGAAATCATATGGGCTACGTTATTCAGAAATAAGTAATCTATATCTGCATGGATAGAATTATTATTTATTCCAAATAAATATCTGCTTGTTTAAGAATTCATATTCTTATTTTACAAAGGTAAAAATTTATCGGAACAAACGAGATTTCTCATGCAAAAACTATATACTTTTATAATAGAAATATTACTCCAGTGCACAAAATAATTATGTAGTTAATACGGGAAAAATATGGATTCAAATCAATCATAAAACTGTAAAAGCCCTGCTCATTGTATGTAACGAGTTTGCTGACGTAATTACAACTCAAGGATTGATACCTTTTTCGATAAATATTACCCTCTCAGAATCTTATCAGGGTAAGAGACACAGTCCACACTCAAGTGCGCACCCACCAATTGGAGGTGACCAAGTTATTCGAATTTACTAACTTCCAACAGGTTCACAGGACGGAGTCTCACGTCCGGTCCACGAGCCTGAATACGGCTTGTGTTCCTTAGTCCAGGGTTTCCAGGTTCAGAGGTCTGATCCACCTAAAGGATTCATGATGAGTGTAAGTCCCGGGCCCCTGCTAACCTTGAGTTCTATTCTATATAAGTTGCTCATGGACCTTCCCATTGCAGGAATCCTTGTAGAAGACTGCCACAATGAGCTGTTCCTGGAGTACATCAATGTTCTGAAATAGAAAGCTCGATTATTATAGCATGCAATGACAACTCTCGAGTGATATTCGTGCAATTGTTGTGTTATATTCTGCGCAGGTGGATCAAAAATGGTGCAGTTCGCCTCGTTGACCTTGTGCAATGCAGAAATTTCCACGAACGCGCAGATCTCCACGAACACGTATGTGGCCTTGCGATGCTCGTTCGGTGTAAATTGACAGCATGGAGGCGATCGAAGAGTAGTACATCGAATCTCGGCTGGCTATGGTAGCAGGTACATCTATGCAGGGGCCGTATCGTAAGCGAATACGCAAGGGTTTTTACAAACGAAGACGGTGGAAATGACAGCAATTTTCACATCTTTAGGTCATGATCGTGATTTGATAAAAACATCTAATTCAAGCTTAGTAATCTCACTCCTCGCATACCATTTAGAGCCCTGAATTCCAGTCCAAATTTGAATGTACATGCTGTGCGCTGAATAGATGCTAGATCTGGGATTTGTCGGACGCCATTGACAGTTATTTGTGTTCTTCGTAGGTTTTATGAACGCAAATATCTGAAAGACTTAACTAGGTCAACTGACCTTTCATCGACGATACAGCGGAGACTACCTTGGAAGATCGGATCTTTATTGGGATCCTCATGTTCAAATGAAGAACCTGTGGGCTCAAAAGTACAGTCTCTTTTGTGTTCGTAAGCAGCTACTCTCCAATACCTCGCTGGATTCACAATGTAATCTCAGTGCAAGCTTCGAGTACCAGCTTGTCAAAGAGTGAATCTAATTTCGGTGATATCTCTTCAAGTAAATTGGACGAAATCTGACCTGTGGCTAACCAATCTGACCATTCATTGATACTTCGATTTCAGGATGAAATGCCCATGTCGCCCTCATATTCGGCAGAAATCCGGGCTGTTGATGATCGGCTCTTCTCCTGCTGCTCTAGTACATATTTCGACGTCCTCGGCTGACAGAAGCTCCGAGTATGGATCAAGAAGGTGGGCGCAATTAAGACTTGCTTTTCCTGCGCTGTTTATAGTGAACATATGTGCGCACTGCAAGTTCGCCTGCTGTAAGTTTCTTCTGTCCCCTCATCAATCTTCAGTTACGACTATAGATTTGTTTTTCATGCATGTTAACCAGGACCATGCTTTGGGCCCGATACTTCTCTTCAAATAACCTTGCGAATGAGATATATTTTCTCCTCTCATTGGAACCACCCAGACGTTGGCAAATGCCATCGCCTCGTTTCCGCCCGTTTAGAACTATGGGTCTGATTGTCTGTGACAAACCATGTGTGTGTGCATCGATAGAAAGAACTCACATGTATTCAGTAGGTCTCAATCTGACTCTCGAAATGGTTTTATGGAAAATGTTGATTACAGGCTTTTCATCGATTGACACGTTTACATACCATGAAATGTGTTGAATTCCCATGAGAAGGCAGAGGTAGTAGCCTGTCCACGCGAGTTGACGTATTCTGCATATCTTCAATATCTTACTAATTATATGTTATGCATGGATTTATATCGATCCATGTCATGTTTCAGTGGCCGTTCGATCATATCTTCACGCACGAGAGAGAGATTCGACGTAAAGTCAATACAGTTTACTTGAATCCGGTAAGTTCATTGGTTTCATGCAAATATTATTAATAAAATTTCGATTTTTGCATGCAAATTTAATATTATTTTAATATTGAATATTCTAATTTAGAGTTAGAAATATTCTTCCATGCTGCAGGTATCTAAAGATTCTATTTTAGAATCTAAATATTCTACCATGATACGTACATTTAAAATCATTTTTGTATCTGATCAGTGTCTTGTATTAGATTTATTCACAGTGATACTCAAATGAGTGTTAAATATTCATGAAAATAAATTTTAAAAAAAATTATACTCATTTTTGGAATCACTGTGAATAAATATTTTATTAGCCAATTGATTATATACAACAATGTACATCTAAATTTCAAAATATTTATAATTACTTAACCATGAAACCCGATATAATTTTACACCCTACATTTTAGATCTAGAAGATAGATAACACTGTTACTTCAATCTTCTCCCTACCGGAGTGATACACTACAATTGCGCTACCACGCTATCGCCACCACTCTGTCCCATAATATCAAGGTGTGTTGGTTTCGGTTCTCGATCTTCAATAGTTTCTTGCAGCATGGACCTGGATCTGTCAACTTGGTCATCCAATGCAGGAAGTTAAATTTTAGAATACAAATTTTGATTCTAAACTAGACGAGAGATAGAACAAACACCGAGCACATATAACGCAATATATCTATCGAATTCAATTGTCGAACTATATCTATGTGAATTGAATTGCTGTAACCAAAACCATTCTCCGACCTTCCGGACCTCTCCTCTCACAATTCTTCTTGCATTCCTTGCGTCTCTTGGTCGCTTTCTCCTCTGAAGTTGATCATGGTATTGGAAATGGTCAGGTTAGTAGCAAAGAACTCGTAATAATTATACAGACAAACAAGTTAGCCCATCAACCTACGGACTAGCTTTTCTATATCATGTGCACATCAAAACTCATGCGGGATACGCGAAAAGTAACTTTTGCCCGTGAACTAAAGTGTCAAGCAATCTAGATACTGCGATGTTCGACCCGGTATCATTGTAGCCCTTGGTGCTCAATTACACCATTTGACAGAAATGGGGGCCGCCACTACAGATTCAAATGTGAGCATCAAGGAACATAAATGTGAGGCTTATTTGGTGTGCTGTCCAATCATAGCAAGGGACCGTATGAGAACTGTCCACGCATGCGCGGAGTACGTTTCGCTCAAAGGGTACGATACTGTCCGTGATTGAATAGTAAGAAACTGAATTCAGCACCTGTCTATTCTCCTTCGCTGGTGGCAATTCTTCGCCGGACTGTGGCCATCAGACCCGTACATCTGGCTGGCTATGGGTTCATCGATGGACAATCTAGAGAAAGATCCCACACTCCGTGAAGAGAGTAGTGTTTTGACATTTCAAACCCATGATATGATTTAGAACATGTGGACGCAGAGCCTTTGATTAACACTTTCTACATTCTCAAAAATAATCGACATCACTAACATGGTGATTAACATGCCCTACTCACTACTTCCGCAGAATGGAGTTGTACCTGTATTCAGGATTCTCAGCGTCATCCATTATTAGGAAATGTGAGATATTTCGGCACGGTTCACTCCCGAATTGGCGGTATCCATGAAATAAGGCCATAACCTCTGTTATCTGATTGAGGGGCTGCTGTTAACCGATCCAACATCCACTGTGCCTCGGACTATCGCTTCTAAGGACCGGGCTTTTACCACTTTCCGACGGCCCGATTCAGCATTCGCCGTCCTGTTTCCGTCCTGTGCCTCTCCCTTGGCATCGCCTCTCTTCTCTCCTTTGCGCAGCCGCTTCCTCGACGACTGATTGAAAGCTCGCTGGAAGTTCCTCTGCCTGCGAGACTGACTGCTGAGCTGCAGATGATGGTGTTCGCAAAGAGAGAATCCGGGCATGCTCGTTCGGCGACACTGCCAGCTCCGACCGTCGACTCGGGTACATCTTGTGCCGACGACGTCGATTTGGGAGGGCCCCGAGATTCCGGTAACTTCTTTCTCAGTGATGGTGGGCGGCACGTCCTTCGAGGAGGAAGAAATTCTACCATTGCCGCTTTCAGACTGTGATTTCGCTCCTCTCGTTTTATGACTCTCGTCCTTGGGACATGCATTGGGGGCCCGTTCATTTCTCTCAGAATCGACCCTCTCCGGAAATCTTGAGAATAGATACTTTCCACCCCTCACGGGTACAAAGCATGGGTTACTTCGCATAATCTTGGCCACTTGTACACTGGGCACTCCCTCTCCTTCAATCAAACCTGGAAGACCTCTCTCTTGAATTTTTGAAAGAGCTTCCCGAGCACTCAGACCCACATTTCCTGGAAGCTCGGCGAAGATACAACAAAGTGAGTGAGTGAGAGACCCTTCAGGCTGGTTACTTGGATGACTGGAACCGTCTTCGAAATCGGAATCAGTCCTGGCCAATTTTTCCTCATCTCCCCCAATTTTTTCTGTTGGTAAATCCCCTAAAACAACAGGAGTTATGGATAGTAAATCACATATCAGAAGATGGTCAGAAGAAGAATTTCTGAGCGTGAAAACTACTTCCTTACAAACAAACTTCAAGCAATACTACTCCGACATCAGTACCAGTGGCTTGAATCTCTCATAGATGTTCGGCAACGATCAACTTCAGTAACATTAGTCTAAGAAAGAAGAGATTAATTGTACCAGAAAAGCGCACTGAAGCTCGGGCTAAATTCCAAACTACACCTGTGTTCAATCTCTCAAGCAATTGACGACAATTGCTTAAACAATGTACACTTTCTCCACTAGGAATTATACGTTTATAGTTCTGGTTCAAGCAGAAGATGTAATAGAAATTACCATCCGAACTTGAAGTGATGTGGGAGCCCGTCTCGTGCATCCTGCGGATAGAAACAATTGTGGCCTCACATTTTTTTTACTCAGGCAGAATCTTCCTGACTCCACTAAAAAAAATATTTCAAATCTTTACAGTTAGCTCAAGTTAGAAAATAATGTGGAAATAACTCTGCAACAACAGACTTCAGCTGCAATGTAAAGAGAGCCATCAATTTATACATACTTGCTTGGGACACGTTTAAAATGTACTTGTGGTGACTTCCTGCTTCCTTCTGTGGTGAATTGTCCTGATGCGGCCTGGATATGAGAATAACTGAGGTTATTGACAAGATGGCCTTTCCAACAGCCGCTAGAAAGACAGTATTTCAAAGTTCAGTTGATTCTATCCAAAATCTTATCACAAATGAAACAATCTGGCTCCATATACTTGTAAATATTATTCAATACCAGGAAAGAGCAGTATGTAGCCTGATAGAACCAAACATGCAACCTCAGAAAGAGACCTCACATATATGTCTTCCTGTCCAAAGGTCCCAAATCAAAGACGAGATCCCCAAAAAAGACCATTGATATTTTAAGAAAGTCATTCACCAGATTGCAAACTCAAAACACATCTATCCTTACAATATATAATTGTCACGGTTCCTACCAGTGACGTAACCAAGCTTCGTCAGGAAAGATATCTTAAACTGGGCATCTCAGAAAAGCAAGGTGTAGCGAACACGGTGAAAAATGATTAGAATGTGATCAAATGATGTACTCAGCCCCTTCCTAGCTGGCTCGTGATAGTATGAAAGTCTTGAATTCAGTTCTTTTGTCAATCCTGGATGTGCAATTGAGTGGCTCATGATGCAATGAAAGTGTCATGACGACATGCGCTAAAATACGAGGGAAACCATGTACAGGACGGTATTTGAAATAAAACTCCTAAGGGAAAAGATTCCCAAAAAATTTCGTTCCTTTCGCAAAGATGAATGCCCTTTGCTTCAGGAAACCAGCAGAACAATCAACAAAACGAGTACATATGCTTCTCTCCTCCAGACATGTAAAACCTCGTCGTTTCTTCTGTGAGTCACTTTGGACAGACAGTCCTTTCCTACCTTGTCCGCCGCAAATGTTGCCCTAAGTTAATAAGTTTTATAGGTTATCTCTTCAAGATCCTTCAATCGGTCATCGGTCCTATATTTTGAAAGCGCTTGTTTTTATTAATGTCAAAACATGTATGTCGAAGGACAGAATTCGCGCACAGAATGCGAAGTCTGGTGACTTTGACAGATGATTGGGCTTTATTGAGTTTTATGAAATGCGCTATCTCGAGTGAAAGTCAGAAGTGTAACCACAGGTCTTGCGGAGGCTTGAGATAGAGAGTCAGCGATAGTAAGTGAACTCAAACCTACTCTGAATTTGAACTTTGCGAACAGGTAGATATAGAAGCACACTGGCTTACCAAAATCCTTCTAAATGTATCACACGTTTAGACGGAAGTGGTTCTTCTGGACGAATCCAATACGCCGACTACCGATTGTTGATTGCAGTCTTCAAATTGACAGTGCTTCCGACCTTCTGGTTAGACATTATCCATCCTAGACCTTCGTGTGAAAGTACGGGACGCAAACACTCGCAAAATACACAGAAATCATGGCCTTCCGGCCCGCATTTGCACCTGTCAGCCCGTCGATGACAAGCTGCAATCCGATCATCTAGCACAATGCCATCATCATCCCGCTGGAAGGATCGCACCCACTCTCTAAGGTTGGAGCTAAATTTAGTTCGTAGTTCATGTCAGTGTCTTCTTACCTTGGCGTTGTTGTTCGACGACCTGTCCGCCTTCTCTTTCCTTGACAGGGAGTCAGCGGATTGAGTTTGATATCTAGAACGAACTCCACTGTCCCGGCGAAAGAAATTCTGTCGGGTTTTGTACTCCTGCACATGCGTGAGACCGTACTTCACCCTCAAGGATAGACATCAAACAGCAAGTTGAGAGTGACCTCGAACGTCACAAATGAGAAAATTTTGGAAGAGTTGTTTCCGCTGATTATGACGCTCACACTTTCACGTCGGCAGTTAATACATCTTCAAATGTGTGCTTGACTTCTCTCAGGTCCCTGTGAAAGTTCAAGAGGCATGGCAGTCACTCGGAGGACTATGGCAAAGTATGAAATATGGGCATTCAGGCTCGATTCACTCCTCAGTATGATCACTTTCTTCTTCCTACTGACAGCGGAACCACTCTCGTCAGGGTTACCAGTAAAAGCAGGCGATTTCGGCGTTGATTTGCGGCTCGAGCTAATTGACAGCATCGTAAACTATAGTGTAGACTGTACACGAGTGACCAGGTTAAGTATCGCCTGATAATGTTGGAACTGAAGCAAGTGATTGGGCCTTCAAGTACACTAAGTCTGAAGTTGACATCCGGTGCAAACGTTCGAGCCTTACAGGTACATTTTCGCGACGTGGGCAGTAATGTAATTCCTCAGCTGCTTCATGAGCGATGGGAAAACTCAGCACATGAGAAATTCACCCTCTTCCGATCAATCCGTGGCTCGATTGAAAGCTGAAGCTTGTAGGAACAAAGACTTGAATGGAAGCGCACTCGCTGCTGCCATGTAATGGATTTCTACAACCGGGCCAGAATAAATTGACATAAAAAATTAGGTAACATATGGAGGTTGCTATCCTGTGCAGGAGCTTGGAGGTATCGACATAAGCTCGAAAAGCATGTTTCGCTACTCCAGGCGAAGGAATCTAGAAATGTTCGGGGAGAAAATGTTCAGAGGACCTGCATGTAATCAATCGCCCTCAAGCACACGCACAGTAAGACTAATGCTTATCAAACAACCAGTGCTGTAGCGTCGGAACAGTCTGCAGGCCGAGACTACGATATACAAGCGGGGTGCCTTCAGAAGGAAAGCAGAAAAGGAAGAGTCTTTCGAGGATAATTTCCAATGTCACACGGAGGTCAAGCGCACTGCGCGCTGGGAGTGGTACATAGCGCTGCCGTCTGAAAGTCTTTCGCTCAGCAGGCCTGGTCTACATAAACGTTTAGAAAAAAGGAGAAAACAAGGGTCTGAAGGGACTGAAGCCTCGCATTTGACACCCAACGATCACGCTGTAATCACACACCTGCGCAATATGTGGCACACCTTCAGCAGCTAGAAGAACGAGTGAGAGCGCCGCTGCCTCACCCCCACTCCTAGTCACAAGCTCAAATCTCTCCGACCCAATTTCCACCCTGTCATTATGATCCGCTCGGTGCAGCGCTGCTGCTGAAGAGCCCGAGGGTTCAGTGGGAAGGCGATCGACTTCCTGCGCCCTCCGCTTACGGATCCTCATCTGTACTTTCTCTCTCTCTCTCTCTCTCTCTCTCTCTCTCTCTCTCTCTCTCTCTCTCGTCCGTCCGTCCTCACTCGCCTCTCCTCGCCTCTCCGCTCCTCCCGTCCCGGTTCTCTCCTCGCCTTCTTCTCGCAGGCTTCTCTTATCGAGATTTAAGCTGAACGGAAGCTCGCGCTGCCCCCTCGAGAATGGAAAATTATACGTGCCCGCTGTCGGTCTGCAGTTTCGCTCGTGAAATAGAGCACTTGCTCCTTTGCACGTAGCCCGGTTGCGGTAGAGGCTCGGTGCTCCAAAAGAACGATCAAAAGCTGAAGCTCGCTATCTAGGCCTGTCCCTGAACGCTCCTACAACGCTACTAATGCCACACTCCATTAGTATTAAAGTGGAGCCGGGCATGATAAGGGCAACCGGGTCGGCCCTACCTCCGGGGTCGCGACAGCTACCGAGTTTCCGGAGCCCGCTCGCCCTCCCTCCGTTGCGAACGTACTTCTGCGACCAATACTCCACAGCGCTACTCGCAGTTAGTATGACCGCATTCGCTCTGGTCGTACGGTAGTGGTGCTGTATTTGTGTATACGTTCTGCGGAGGCCTACCTACCATCATGGGCCGAGATCGTACGAGGCCACTGTTTTACTTTGCTCGGAGCTGTAACTTCATGCCGATTGCATGACAGTACATCTCGGAGCCCAAATTTTAACGGTGGGATTTGATTTTCTGGTGAGCTCGGACCTCTTATGCCCCGAGGTCCTTTTTCCGCCTCGCGACTTCATGGGCTCTTCCCGTCGATTGTGCTGGATTACTCGGTGCTCCGATGTCCTTTTCCTCCTCGCCTCGTGCTATATACTTCGGGCCTGTCGCGGTTACTCGACCGGAGTTACTGGACGCGACTCGACTGGACTGCACATCGTTCGTGCCCCTCCGCTCCTCTGCTCTGCTCCGCTTAAAGGGGGCCAACAGAAAGACCCACTGCATTCTTTATCATATCCTTCTTACTTTCTTCAACACGTGACAATAGTTTAAGCCTTGCCTTTCCGCATGTAGCTAGGTGCCTATCTGTGCAGACATTGCAACTTGACAAATAGAAATAAACTTAGGCCACCTGACGTTCTTAATTCTAAAAAGTCCCTCTCTAACTGAACTCAGCTTATAGTAAAGGGTCGTGCGTGATTTCCGGCGTTGTGCTTAGGGCTTAAAAATAGTATACTCTCTATATGTGAGCGAAGTGTCCTGACACTTATAGTAGCTACTACTCCGCGTATGGTGATGTGGTTCGTGCTCAAGAGAGTCAAACTGTCAAATTCATCTTGCTTGCGCAGATTTCCCCACTTAGACTACAAGATGCTCCGGATTCCCTGAGTCGAAAATGATAAGTACAACCCACTCGAGCTCGGTCGGTTCTAACACGAGTTGCCCACTGTTCAGTCAATTGAAGGCCCACCCTCAAGCACCACGACAGAATATAAAGGCCCGCTAAAGGCGGAAGCACTACTGCCCTGGACTCCCATAGGTTCATCCTTCCGAAACTCAAGTGTTCCTCTCGCAGTTCTACTTTTTGCAATAACTGTAGTTCGAACTGCACCTTTTGGCTTCCTCACAGATTTATCAAACTGGCAATCTAACGACAAAAAGGTGGTCCTCAACTTTCCATTCTTTATTTATTCCTCGCAGCACGCACACAGATATATCTAAAGTATCTTCCGGGGGATTTTTGCTTTGCACAAGGATTTTTGTTGTATTTTTGAAATGGCAAGTAGTTCATGAGTGCAGAATGCACCATATCAAGCAACAGAGCTCAAAATCTTCGATCAAAATTCTCCTCCCCAAGTTCTGTTGACCTCACAATAAGACAATGTATTGAATTGGTAAATATATTGTCGGATACCCGACGAAATCAGGGAAGTGTTTACTGCCATGTACATATGTCGGATAGTAGGCTGGAACAGACTTCTTCGAATTGGCACGCATGATGTGCAGAGAGTAGACACTATGGATGAGCAAACGTCAGATTATCGATGAAGGACACCGGGACCAGTCACATAGTAGAATTCATCTCTTGATCTAGCCAGATTCCCTAGGTTTCAAGCTTTAACATTCCACATCAATAATTAGCTACACTCTTGCCTGCTGTACTTTGTAAATTCACGAACTCCAGTTTCATTCCAATTGTTTGGAATTTACTTCGAACTTGGTCCCACGGTCAGTCTCATCTCTTTCTGTCAAGTACTACATAGGCGGTTCATAACAATACCGGAAAAGAAAGTGTATTGGCCCGGATCAGTTAAAATAAGACTTACATAGGACATAACATGATGTTGCAAATGTATTCATGTTCATTTCATTTTTTTTCAAAATTTGATGTATTCATTGTGATTGATTTTCTAAAAAAATAAGCTTTAGTTTTAAAAACAGTTTTAACACATGGTCTATATTTCTAACCTATAATCTATATGTGATTTTTTTTTTCAATATTGTCACAAGAAAAGTCAAAATGCACACAGACACAACCAACAAAAGGTCACACAAGCATACATGCCGACTCGTAAACATAAGTGGTTCATCACTGCAACCTATTCTCCCGTTGACACATTAGACTTTATTGAAAAAATCCAAAAAGTGTGTCGGAGAGTTTCTCTTTAACCTAGAGCTACTTAAAACTAAATTAAAATCAAAACAATATCTTATAAAAACACGTTAATAAACTTTGCTTGTGCTTCTCATATAAAATTTGCAAAATATAATAATATATTTTAAAATCTTCTTAAGAATTAAATTGTATCAATGCATCATCTAGATTGAATTTACTATCAATTTTGAATAGCTCAATCTTCTTATTATGCATTGCATCTTCAATAAATTAATTACCGATGTCTTTGTTTTTCATCACTTCATTTGCACCAAGATCCAATTCATTTTAATCATCATAATATTTGATATTTTTTTTCAAAGCCAATGGATAGTCTCATGTATATTTTTTTTTTCAGATATTGAAAAAAAAATGATGTAATCATCTCCATCTTATTCATAATCAAACCAAATATTACAGCAAGTGCACTTATAAGTAAATTTTGAAATGTTTTGCTACATGTTCTCCATACATTTAAAATAAATAAATAAACCTCTATCCACCAATTTGATTTTGAATTTTGAATTTTGAATTTGATTTTTTCTCATCATTTTATGAAATTTATTTACATTTTGTACACACAATAATCATCCGCCAAAGATAGAAATTTCATTATCTTCCACATCTTGTTATCAATCAATGATAGCATTACAGGCTATAGAGTAATATTTGTCTCAAGCTTATCGACAAAAGTTTAAGCTTCTTTATAAGATAAAGGTTTTTTTCTTCCAATATTCATGCTTTATCGTCTTCATTATTGTTCTCAATATCATGATATCTAAAAATAGATGAACTTATCCATAATCACATCTTGTGGAATATTATGTAAGTCCAATTCAAAAATCTGTTAGTAAAAGTTTTCATTGATTTTCATCGTTTGTTGTAGTGATTTAAGTCTCATCAAGAAAAATTTGCTACTTTATTTCCTAATCTTCAAACATATTCTTCTCAATGGTAGTTTTTCTTTGTATCATATCATTTAATCCGCAATAAACAGTGTTCTTTTCTACAATATTTGTAAATGAACATTTGAATTCCTTATTACCGAAAGCTTGAAATATTTTTTCTCTTTTCTCTTTTTTTTGGGATTCTAAAAATTAACATTCATATATACAATATTCTTACGAATTATAGATTTTCAAAGTCTATAATCTTTCATATTATAAGCTTATTAAGATCAATTAAAAGAGACTCAAACAATAATATACAATCGTTATAATTCTTCATGTGATTCAAAATTAGAGGTTGCAAATTTTATACAATAATATTCATAGTTTTCTATTGCAGATTTTTTAATTTTTTGTAGTTGAATATTATTAAGTGACATCTTCATGAAATTTGAAGCCTTTACTTTGCCTATATATTTACACCCTTAAAAAAAAAAATAGTCCCGTACATTGTAATTGATTATGTTGTATTCATTTTCTCCAGTATTCAAAGCAGACATCTAATTACATTAAATTCTTGAAGTATTCATTTTTTTGTTAATGTGAATAATTTTCCTCTTTTATTAATTACGTGAAACTCTTAAAGTTGTCACTGATGGCGTTCAATTGATGATCAATTTTTCTTCTCATTCACATGAAAAATCAAATATGTTGTAAATTATTCTACATTACGTCAATCATTGTTAAAACAATGTAAGATTATCAAATCACATAAACTATTTAAAAATATACAAAAGTTTACACAACGTTTTGTTGTTGTTGTCATTAACATGAATATTACAAAAAATCAATTTAAGCTTCTTTTACGAAAGATTTATTAGAAGATTTGAATCAAATAATTCAAGTTTAAAGTTTTCACTTAAAAAAATATCAAATCTAGACAAAAAAGCAAGAAAACAAACACAAAATTTCTCATATAGTGAGAGTATGTGAAGTTTGACTATAAAAATTAAAACAAGCAATCAATAAAGTAAACAAAAGATTGGAACTTTTTTACTATAATTTTTTGTTGGAACAAAGACAAAATGAATGCATTATATAATATTTTTTGAATTTCGAAGCGACCAATGTTCTAAAAGTCAAGGTAGCAGTGTAGAATGAAATTTAAATATTGAAAACAAGCACGCAATTCAAACAAATAAGAGAGATTAAATTTTGTGTATCATCATTTTGGGGAGCCAAGTTTTAGCTATGGTCATCAAAACTAAAGCAAAAGCAATAGGAATTAAAATATTAAATATATAAAAAAAATGTGTTTTGCAATGAAGAACAAATAAACTTAGAATTGATTGACAATAGTAATGTTTTTTAGGAAATAAAATCTCTTAACATATCTATACTTGTGAATGTTGTTATGTTTGAATTGGCATATACAATATATTAAATTACAAAAAACATTAGTAATTGATTTTCTTCTACACATACAAGCAATGTGAATCTCCTCATATCTATTTCACTCAAAGATAATTTTCTTATGTCGTGTATTTTTGACTCCACTCAGCTTCTTTAACAATCAACGTTTTAGCTCCTCTTCCATAAGTGTTGTGATCAAGATCAAAGTCATTTTTATCAATGTAAATTCTTACTTCAATCAAAGAAA